CTGTTGTAACTGTTTTCGCCGTTGTCACTGTTGTCACAGTTGTCACTATTGTCACCGTTGCCACTGTTGTCACGGTTGTCGCTGTTGTCAATGTTGTCGCTGTTTTCGCTGCTGTCACGTATGTCACTGTTTTCACTATTGTTGCTGTTTTAACCATTGTCGCTGTGGTTTCTGTTGTCACTGTGATCATTGTTGTCACTGTTGTCACCGTTGTCGCTGTTGTACGGTTGTCACTGTTGTCACTTTTGTTGTTGTTGAAACCGTTGTCGTTGATAACACTTTTATTGCTGTTGTCACCATTGTTACTGCTGTCGCTGTTGTCACTGTTGTCACCGTTGCCACTGTTATCGCCGTTCTCACTCTTGTCGCTGTTGTCACAATTGCTGTTGTTGTCACAGGTGCCGTTGTTGTCACTGTTGACACTGTTCTCGCTGTTGTCAATATTGTAGCTGTTGTCGCTGCTGTCACGTATGTCACTGTCTTCACTATTGTTGCTGTTTTAACCATTGTCGCTGTGGTTTCTGTTGTCACTGTGATCATTGTTGTCACTATTGTCACCATTGTCGCTGTTATCACGGTTGTCACTGTTGTCACTGTTGTTGTTGTTGAAACCGCTGTCGTTGTTAACACTTTTATTGCTGTTGTCACCATTTTCACTGCCGTCGCTGTTGTCACTGTTGTCACCGTTCTCACTGTTGTCGCCGTTCTCACTGTTGTTGCTGTTGTCACAGTTGTTGTTGTTGTCACAGGAGCCGTTGTTGTCACTGTTGACACTGTTCTGGCAGTTGTCACTGTTGTAGCTGTTAACACCGTTGTCACTGTTGTCGCTGTTGTCATGGTTGTCACAGTTGTCACTGTTGTCACTGTTGTCGCCGTTGTCACTGTTGTCATTGTTGTCACTCTTGTAACAGTTGTCACCGTTGTTGCTGTTGTCACCATTGTCGCTGTTGTCACTGTTCTTCAGGCTGTCACCGTTCTTACCGTTGTCGCTGTTTTCACTGTTTTTGCTGTTGTCTCGGTTGTCACTGTTGTCACTATTGTTGCTGTTGTCACCGTTGTTGCTGTTGCTACTTTTATCGATGTTGTAACCGTTGTCGTTGATAACACTTTTATTGCTGTTGTCACCATTGTTACTGCTGTCGCTGTTGTCACTGTTGTCACCGTTGCCACTGTTATCGCCGTTCTCACTCTTGTCGCTGTTGTCACAATTGTTGTTGTTGTCACAGGTGCCGTTGTTGTCACTGTTGACACTGTTCT